ATTTCTTAGCTTACGATTCTTAGCAATATATATTTCTTTTTAGGTTTTAAAGATGCCATAATCGTTGTAGAAAAGAAAGAAATATGGAAAACAAGAGTGTATTTAATACACGTTTTCCCATTGTATCCTCCTACTACTTATTTATATTTTTAATAATAATAATAATAATAATAATAATAAGGGTTTTGTTTGCAGAAAAGTCCTAATATTTTTGTTTAGAGAAACGTCCTAATATTTTTTGTTTACAGAAAAGTCTCAATATTTTAGGTTAGTTTACGAAATAGTCCAAAATTAATTTGGTACGGGTTTCAACCGGTCAAAAAGGGTTAAACTGTAAATTTTTGCCGGTTTTCAGGACTTTTTTGTTCAAAAAAAAATCTTGGGACTAAAGTGTAACTTTTCCGTAAATATTGGGACTTTTATGAAGATTTCTCATATTTTATCTACATGTAGATTATGATTTGTAGTTAAGTTTAGACTATAAAAACGCTTGATTTGGTTAAAAATTGAATGAGTTACAAGCCCCGCAAGGAAGAGTGTCAAATCAGAAGTTTTTTTAATGTTTCAGCAATTAAATGTAATCTGACTTTGTTGTTCAAATGTGTATAACTTACTCAATTTAACTTGTTTTGACCTGAATCTTTTTCCTACATTTAGATTAGGATTTGTAGTTAAGTTTAGATTATAAAGATGTTTGATTTGGTTAAAAATTGAATGAGCTACAAGCCCGGCAAGGAAGGGTGTCAAATCAGAATTTTTTTTTTATGTTTCAGCAATTAAATGTAATCTGAATTTGTTGTTCAAATGTGCATACTCACTCAATTTAACTTTTTTTGACCTGAATCTTTTTCCTAAATGTAGATTAGGATTTGTAGTTAAGTTTAGACTATAAAAACGCTTGATTTGGTTAAAAATTGAATGAGTTACAAGTCCCGCAAGGAAGGGTGTCAAATCATAATTTTTTTATGTTACAGACTTACAACAATTAAACGTAATCTGACTTTGTTGTTCAAATGTGCATAACTCACTCAATTTAAGTTTTTTTGACCTGAATCTTTTTCCTACACGTAGTTTAGGTTTTGTAGTTAAGTTTAGACTATAAAAACGTTTGATTTGGTTAAAAATTGAATGTGTTACAAGCCCCGTAAGGAAGCGTGTCAAATCAGACTGGTTACAAAATCGAAAACCCGGTAAAAACCGGACCCGGAACCGGAACCGGTAGAACCGCCGGGCCGGTTCGGTCCTTGATTTTGGCAGAAGCCGGTTCCCCGGGTCGGGTCTGGATCGGGCCGGTTCCGGCCGGTTCAGTCCATTTGCTCATGCCTAGATGGGTAATGTATTCTGTTGTTCCGGGCATTGCTCATGTTTTTATAAAGACTACATATCTTTTTTCAAATTTATTTATCATAGCTTCTAATAAGTAAGTTTACAAACATTTGTTATCTTAATTTTCAATTTCATTTCCAAATGTCTCTAGTTATACTATTGAAAAATATCGTTTAAAAAATCATTAGTGCTTTTACCCTTTGCAATAATTTTATCATAATCTATATAATTTTAATTTTTCAACCGAGTTTTAACCGAACTTTTGTATTTCATCCTCATCCACCTCTTATCTTCTTTCTCACTCGCTCCCAAGTCTCAACACACGCACGTCGATGGCAGTATCTCGGAGCATGTCGCCGGCAATTTCCACTACACCTACCCCTTTTTACCACTCATCTTCTTCTCTCTCAATTTTTCCAAAAACCCATCATCCTTCACATTTGTTTCGAACTATAACCTTTTCAACCACTCCCAATTTCCCCTGTAATTCCAAAACTTCAACTTCAGTTTCAGGAATCTGGGACGCCATTACAGGAGGAGCCGGTTCATCCCGTGAATCCCTAATCGCAATTCGACGAGGAATGGTTCTCTTTCGTCAGGTTCCTCCACATTTCCCAAATCGAATCATTCTCCTGCTTTTAGTTTCTTGTTATCTTCTCAATATCATCTTTATTTGTAATCAAGGGTGATGTAGCGGGGTCTGTAGCAGAGTTCGATAATGCAATTCAACTTGATCCTCGTCAAAAGGCATGTGAGTTCCTCACTTCCTCTCATTTATATCTGTGATACCCAATTTGGGGTTTAAGCGGAAATTGCATCTTGTTTGTTAATCAATTAACGAGGATAATGAAAACAAGAAACTTATGTAATTTACAAGTTTTGATTATTGGTATTGTGTGAATAGATCTTTGGCAAAGAGGGCTCTCACTGTATTACCTTGATAGGTATTTCCAGAAGAAAAAGAAGTTCTCATTTAATTTTGATCATTTTCATCTTTTCTTATTTACTAATGTCACCATGATGGTGGCCAATGTGAGTAGGTTTGAAGAAGGGGCAGAGCAATTCCGAATAGATGTAGCACAAAATCCAAACGACACTGAGGAGTCAATTTGGTGTTTTCTTTGTGAAGCTCAACTATATGGAGCTACTGAAGCAAGAAAACGATTTCTTGAGGTCTATACATAATTTCCATGAAAGAAAGTCATCAATTTTGAATCTCTCATTACAATATTTCACCTTGGTGTATGTTTTACAGGTTGGAAGAGATCCTAGACCTGTTATGAGAGAAGCGTATAACATGTTCAAAGATGGTGGTGACCCTCAAAAGGTACATGTAATAAAGCTTTATAATAACTTTTGATGTTGTGAATGCCTTTTAGTATATGCTATCTTGCTATCTTTAAAAGATTACTTCACCTAAAGTGATCGATTTCTCTTTTCAGCTTGTAGATGTGTTTTCTAAAGGACGAGAGAGTGAGTATTTTTATGCTTCCCTATACGCTGGCCTTTATTATGAATCTCAGGTTTGTATATCTTTTTTCAAGATTCTTTAATGCTTCTTGATTTATTTTCGTTTGATTTGTTTTCATTCTCTTCTAATCTTGCTAATTGTAGAATGAAGCTGACAAGGCCAAAGTTCACTTGGTTGCTTCATGTAAATCACCTTATGGGGAAAGGTCGGGATGTTTCACTGGTGCTTTTTATATATAAAAGACATTTAAATTTCGCTAATATTTTTTTTTTTTTAATGTTGTGTGTTAAATGTTACAGGTTGGATGATTATATGGCATCCTTGGCGAAAGTTCATTGTCAGTGTCGAAAGTGGGAGTTGTAGTTGAATTATATATATAGCAAGTTCATTGTCAGTGTCGAAAGTGGGAGTTGTAGTTGAATTATATATATAGCTCGATCCACCTTTTGTAAATTGAATTTGACTCTTTGAGAAATCCATTTTATAGATACATGAAATTATATGTTAGAAACGTAAAAAGATTTTATATAATATAAAAGGTGTAAATAACCTTAAAGATTTTGTTAATCATTATTTTGGAGAAACTACAGAAGATGATGAACAATTATTGTGAAAAAAAGATTTTGTTAATCATTATTTTGGAGAAACTACAGAAGATGATGAACAATTATTGTGAAAAAAGACACAAATAGCCGAAATGTCATCAATTGCGATCCCTTTTCTTTTGCGTTTCCATTCACGGACTGCATGATCCACTAGACGTTTAGCCGATTTGGCCTTGTCTGATGTCGATGACACAATCTCGACTGCTTCTTCATTTGAAACAACATCCCACACCTACAGAATAAAGTCATACAATTTTTATCAACACAGAACAGGTTGTATTGCATTTGACATTGTACATAACTTTTATCAACACAGAACAGGTTGTACTGCATTTGACATTAGACTGAATGACCGAAACCGAACCAGACTATGCTAAAGGGAAAAGTAGCAATTTTTGTCTCATTGAAAAAGGTGGGACAGGGATTCACTCTCAGTTTCAGTCACAGTCTGTGTTATAGATACAGACAAAAGTATATTATCAACTAGTTCTAGGTTTTACGGATTCTTGAACATACCCCATCGGAAGCAAGCACAATAAATTGGTCTTGGCTGGTTATATTTCGTTGTATGACTTCGGGAACAGAAATAAGCCCGTAATTTTTAATACAGTAATCGCCAAAGGCTCGCGACATAGCCAGACCAGGGGAGTCCTCATTTGGCAGCCACACACGGTGCACACCGGGCTCGTCTTCTAGGTAGAAGACGCGCCCATTGCACTCAACTATTCGTTCGGCCTCCTCTACACACAAAATAAGTTTATTCAAACACACCAACACAAATTGAACATAAAATTATTTCCAAACACAACCACTCACTGGGTAGATTTGGTTTGAAATCGACTGTAAGTTGTACGGGTATCAAGCCACCATCATCACTAGCCATGGCTAACACTGCACGAGAATCTCCAACATTCGCTATGACGAGATGATCACCCTGAAAAGTTGTATATGTTTGAGTTTTTGTAAAAAAGTTATTATTCCAACATACTTTTGTCCTCACATCACATGAGCATGTGATGTAAATCAGGTATCCTGGGCCCACATGAAAGCCCAATAGAAGAAGCCCAACACTATGGACGTTGAGACCTGAAGAAACTAAAAACATCATGTGATATGTAAATCAGGTCTACTTTTGACTCACATAATAGCCCAATCCACAATGGAATTTAAACTCCAACTCGTGACTGTTAATATTTAAACCCTTGCATGTTAAAAGTTAAAAGGATCTTGAATTACCTGTCTCACAGCCACCAAAGCTGTTGTTCCACTATAAACTGAATCAATTTTGCGGTATTGTTGTAGATCATGATCAACATCGGCACAAGTCTTTGTGATAGAATGCTGCCATATATGGAATCTATCAAGCTTTTTATCAGATTCCAAATCAAGATCATCATCAGCTGAACTTTCGACTAACATATCTTGCCAATTACAAAGCAACGATGATGTCATCGACTCACAAACTCTCTTTGCAACGAAATGTCCCCATGGACCATGACCATCGAAAACCCCACAAAACATCATGTCCTCCTGGCACCCAAATTCCTACACTCCAAAAAGAAAAAAGAACACATAAAACGTGGCTTTTAGTGATCCAAATTCCATACCACTAAAATCAACATGAAATTTGTTGGAGTCTCCCTTCTTTCCTCAATGACTTTTATGGAGAAAAAAAATCAAGAACTCCATATATTTATATGGTAATAGAACGGGTGTCTAGCACCTCATGGCCACACCATGTTCAAGGGCTCTTTTGTGCTCACAAAAGTCACAAAATTAAGAAAATTAAGGACTCCTTATTTATAACAAACATGGGATGAAAAAGATAATCTTTATATACCTCCCAAACAATGCAACAATCTTGATTGACACCTTTTTCGCCTTTCCTGGAGCAAACAGAAGCAAAATTATCAGATCCTTTCACGTTGACAGTGCCGGAGGATCTTAAGATCATCTCATTCTTCTTTGCATCTTTTGCCATGGCTTCTGCAGCTTCTTTGCCATTACATTCCGTAGAACTCGTCCCTCTCTTGGAAGTCGAAAACGTTCTTGATAATCCATCTATCATGGAGGAAAAACGGCCCATAATTTACTTCTGAAAATCACAAAAAGTCAATATTTTTAGTTCATATGATTTACATAGATTCTAATAATAAATGTCATACACGGGATGTCAATGTTCCTTATGGTCTACTTTTGTTTCATTACTCTAAAAAACTGTCAGAAAGAACAATCAAACTTATGAACCTAAAAAAAGGTAATTTTCTTTATATCCTATTCTGGAAAACATAAATCCAACTTGTGCATAACCCCATTATTCTACATTTTTGTGTACCCAGAAGAAAAATTAAAAAAAGCTTTCATTTTAATCTATAAGGAATGCAACAAACCAAACCCATAATAAATAAAATAAGATAGTCGGAGAATATGCCGCATGAGCATCCCACTGGATACAGCAGGAACTGTAGATTCGTTTTCAAAACCTAAAGAAGAAGTGGGTAGAGGTTTGATGAGAAAGACCTTGTTCTGATCGGGTATGCAAGAGGTAGGGATGATCGCCGGAAAGTTGGCCGGAATATGAAGGAAATCCGGTGAGAGTGAAAACGAGTGAGGCAATCCGCAATCATATGGATTTTGTTTGTGCCTTTTAAGATATTTAAGTGGGGGATGAGACTTGGAAAAAAGACGTTTGAGATGTATGCAAATACAAATACAGTATGTGTGGTGGAGGCCATAAGTGGGTGATTTGTAACTGGAATAAGACCCACCTTTTTTCAGCAGTAAATCTATCCGTTTCATCTTCAGTGACGGATATGTTTTATTTTATGTTTTAAGATATGTTTTATTATAGCTTTTAATGAAGTATTTCTTTATTTGTTTACTTTTAGAACCGCAAATAATAAATAATAATTTTTAACTTCTAACAATTATATAAAATTAAAAATGCCAATGTTACAAAATTAGGTTGTGTAACACATTTTTTTCCATAAAAATATATCGATATTGATTTGTTATTATAGAAAATAAAGATTGATACGTTTTGATATCTTTTAAATAATAAACAAATACGATAGTAAAAATAAAAGACATAATGATCATAAAACCGATGATCAGTTTTCACAGTTTCTAACGTTTTTGTGGGTTTGTATTTGTAAAATCACAAAAAATGAATCTGTTGATTGCTTAACAGCTTAAGAAATAATTAATTCAAAAATTGTTAAAGATGTCGGTACAAATAAGATTTGAATAATTGATACTCGGTGACTTAGTATAAACAAACAATTTAGACTTTATGTTTATTTTGTAACAGGTCAATGAATATGATCATCAACGATAGTTATATATAAATGTGACAATTATTATGTATTCTTGATTATTCCCTATAAATAATGTACTTAAACTCCGTTTAGTAAGTTAGTTCATGTTACCTTGAGTTCTTGTATCTATAAGAATTCGACAAGAAAATCATTCAAAAGCCACATTTGTTCTTGTTTTGTTTTCTTGCTTGTGATTGAATATTCAATTCTTAATTTTGTAGCATATATGTTCGTCATTTTGATATGAATCTCATCTTTTCAGTTGGTTTATAGCCAACATACTCGTAAAAAAGTTACTAAATTTGTTATTTTTTTATGATGAGATTCTATTGGTTTTATAGCCAACATACTCATCTTTTCAGTTGGTTCTATAGCCAACATACTCGTAAAAAAGTTACTAAAATATTGATACTTGGATTTCAGGTTTTTATTAAATTAGATTAACGGATATATACATTAAAGTCTCAATATTTTCATCGATTTGACAATAAAGTCCTAAACTTTATTTTCTTGACAGTAAAGTCCTAACTACCGGCAGTTTTTGACACTTTTACCATTTTTCTCCGGTTTACCGATAATTAGGACTTTACTGTAAAAATAAATAAAGTTTATGACTTTCTTGTTAAATCGTTGTCAAAAAAATAAAGTTCAGGACTTTCTTGTCTAATCGTTGAAAATATTGAGACTTTAGTGTATTTTCGTAGCCCAAGAGCTTTTTATTGTGATTTTCGTCGTAGCACCACTGTTTTTCTTACCATCATCATATTTACCTTAATACAATCACGATCAGGGGAAACAAATGCAAAAGAGATGTAACACCCCGTTTATTAAATAAATAAATAAACAAATTAATGAATGAATAGTAGCCCTAAAATCAATAATTATATAGCAAGGTGTTGGTCTCAAGGAGTTAATTGTCACGATTTTAGAAGTTGGGGGTTAAACGTGTAAGTTCCGGGATTTATTTTGTAAAGATTTTTAGAAGGCAAGGGATGTTTGGTAAGTATGGGACTTAATATGAAAGGATTTATAGAAGCAGAGGCTAAAGAGTAAATTCTGGACCTAAGTTGAAAAGGTTTTGGTAGAGGAGGGGCCATTTGGTAACATAAGGACTTCAATTGAAAACAATTTGAAGAGGGAGGGGTTGCTTGGTAAAATTTTGGACTTGATTTGTAAGGGATTTCAGAAGGTGGGGTTAAATGGTAAATTATGGACTTCTTTTGGAAAGATTCTTATGGGGGAGGGACCATTACTGTCATTATGGGGTTAAGTTTCTTGATACCGGGTATATAGCACCACCCTCCCGAAACCCTAACCCTAAAAGAGACATCAGCCGCCACCTTCACCTCCCACTCCCTCCGGCCGCCGCCACCATCACTTCTGTCATCGGACGTCGCGCGTAGCTGGGAAAGAACCACCGTGATCGGTCGAATCAGCACCGGTTGGGGAAGCTGTCGTCGTTGTTGGAACCGTAGAACCACCAGAAGCGCCATCGCACGTGACCCTCAGCCGCCACCTGCAACCTCACCGTCGGACTCCACCTAACAGCGCCTGCTGCCAATGACGCTGTGTGAAACCGGAGGTGCCGCTGAAGACTGAAGATTGGAGCTAGGGACGTTGTCGTGCGGGCCATGAGCGACCAGAAGACTCTCGGAATGCCAACAACATGTCATTCTTTGTTCCTCCTTATGGGTTCGACGTCAGACTCTCGGAATGCCAACAACATCGCCAAACGCCACCAGGTGGGTGGCTGGAGTGCATTTTGCAAATCAGAAATGTGTGTGTGTGTGTTGTATGTGGTTTCGTTTGGCCGAAAAATCGAGAAAAGGCCACCACTACCACCGTGTGGTGGTGGCTGCCACCATGTACCGCCGTCGGCCACTACAAGGGTGGCTGTGTGTGTGTGTTTATCTTAGTGTGTGTGTGTGTGTTATTTGGGATTTTGCATTGTAATATTGTAATCAGTGTCAGAATAATCAAAAGAAAACTCATAACCACCACCGTGAGGTGGTGGCTGCCGCCTTCTGCCGCCACATGCCGCCATGTTGGGTGGCGGTGTGCTTTTGTTTGTGTTTAGACTGCTTGGACATAATGGACTAGAACCATAACCACCACCGTGAGGTGGTGGCCGCCACCGTAAGCCGCTGTTGACCACCACTACCCGAGGTGGTAGTGGGTGGTGCCCGACTTATGAAACCCTAGTGGGCCTAATAAAACCCTAATTGATCTAAAGACTTAGCTTTTGGGCCTAATTAGGTTGTGATTGGGTTGGAAACCTTAATTTTGGATATATGGGTTTTGGAGTGTCGGGACCCGCATTTTGGATGACCGGATTAGGATTATGTATTAAGCCTGACCACACTGCATGATTGACCTAGTAGATTGATGGACTTAATGGATTAAGTCCTTAATGGGTTAAGTAATAAACACTTAACCCTAATCGTCATTTTATGTGGAAACCCTAATTTCACTTGGGCTTTAAGTTGGGCCTTTCTATTGGGCTTTGGTGATTGGGCTATTGATGGGCCATGCAGGAACAATCATATGGACTAAGAATATATGGATGGGCTTTAGGGTAAGGCCCATGTGAGGGTTTGGGCCCAATTTTCCATAGATGGGCCATAACTAGGCATTGAGGATTATGAGAGGTTGGACCATTGGAATGCCAAATGTTTTAACTGGACTAAACGGTTGGGCCTTAGGGTAAGACCATGTAAAGGTTTGGGCCCAATTCAGAAAATTGGGCCATATGTTGGGTTTTGATTCATAGTTTGACTTTTGGGCCTTGGATTGGGCTTTGAGTTTGAATCAAGCTAAGATGGGGTAAAGTAGTCTTTTACCCCAAGCATGGACTTATGGATATATGTTGGAACCCAATTACTGATTAGGAGTTATTTTCATGATTGACAGTTCGGGAATCTGTCATCCAGCAACCAGGGTTTTGTCTGCGGGACTTCAGCAGTGCGAGGTGAGTTACCTTCCAGTAGAGATGGGTCTAAGGCACCAATGTCGGCCCACCAATAGGTGATTATGTTTGAGATGATTGTCTTTGTGATAATTGTATGGTTTGCCACTATGTGTTATGAGTTATGTGCTAGTATGCTATGATATTATGTGATAGTAGTAGGAAGAGTGGGTAGACCCCAATATCGGTTGTAAGGACCGACAGGGTAGGTCGGGCACCCAGATATGTTTGACAGTATGTTATGCTATGATATTATGTGATAGTGGTAAGAGGGGTGGATAGACCCCAGTATCGGTTGTAAGGACCGACAGGGTTGGTTGGGCACCCAGATATGCCTGATAGTATGTGTATGCTATGTTATTATATGGTAGTGGTAGGGGGTGAAATAGTCCCCATAGCCGGTTGAGATAAACCGGAGGGTAGGTCGGGCACCCCAAAATTGCCTGGCAGGGTAGGTCGGCCACCCCATAATTACATGGTAGGGTAGATCGGGCACCCCCGAATTTCCCGGCAGTATGTTTGTTATTGATGGGTTTTTGAGCATTCTAACACTCCTATGGTGTACATGCAACCCTAGAAACCTTGGATCTTTGTTTGACTATGATACAT